CATTCAGGTACATGTTCACACACCGTTATTTTGAGATCACGATTACTCCTCCCTATGTATGTATGACCACACACAGATTTAAACTATTAAGCACAATGGGATGTGACGCAATCGTTTACTTGTCTTTTAGATTTTCGATGATGCATGAACATTTTTGTTTCCTTGATGCACAATATGTCTGTTGACAAAACATGGGCTGATTATCTATTTTGAATAATAATAATAGTAACAAAAGAGTTTGATGAGTTTCTGTCAAGATCTGTCTCACTTACAAATCTCAACAAGCAAAATACTTGAGTTCAACATTGTTCTTAAAACATATGAAAATATAGTAGTTTTTATTGAAATCCAGAGCATAACTGAGTTAAACCACCATTGAAAATCTTGGAGCTTTGTATAACCATTTCTTCTGAGTATAGGACTCTTCAGCAGTGTGGATTCACGACCTCGAGCACGAACGCAATGTCTTTAGACTACTGAGCCGACATTCAATATTGCTAATGTTTAACTTCAATTATTCAACGATTTTGTACGACCATCTTACATTGTCTTTGATGGGTAACTACATCAATAAAATTCAACAATCTCCATAACCCTTTACTAACAGTAAAATATTTTTTGCTTAAATATTTAGAAATAGCGGAAGAGTATGTAAAAGATAGAAGTAGTTGAAGTATTTTTTTGTCTAAAAATATAAGCATAATAATATTTCTGTTTGCCTAATTAATCAACTATTACATTATTCAGTCTTCAAACGTTTTCTTAGGGAAAAACGGAGTCAAAAGAAACGTAAACTTATATTCAGTGTTCTTATTCACCGACTGATTCTGTTTACAGAAATAAAATATAATTGTTTTAATGAATTTTACAACTGTTATAATATGCATTCACTGTTGAAGAAACTTCAATTCTACTTGGACCACCATGAAGATATTCCAATAACATATTACTAACTGTTCTAGAGAACAAACTGTTACAAGAAAAATTAAATTACGCACACAGTTTACAATGGTAAACTTTTATAGAACGAAATAGAATATTCTTGTTTCGCTTTAAAGCACGGTAAAGAAAGAAGGAAAACAAACATTAGATGAGCACTTTTACATGGACAATAGAACTATTAAACAATTATGGAATGTTGCGAATTGATTGAAGTTATACATCTCAATCATCAAATGGTAATTCAAAGATGTAGAGGATGGACACTCATCACGACATCTAAATGTTCTCGATTCGAGTTATGGATTTAGATTACTAAGTATTACTACACTTGGATGAAATACATTTTCATTGTCTTCTGTTCTCAAATGATTTTCTATTTAAGATTAATAAGTGTTGTAAACTATGAAAGTAGTATAATTTGAAGAGTGTTCTTATCAGTCTTAAGGGGTCTTAATTTGTAACGAATTCTAAGATCGGAATCATAAAAACAGACTTAAAATAATAAACGATGAAAACAATAATGTTACACTTAGTAACTAAGATGAATGTAGATTTACATGTAAAAAAAGTTATAATTTCATCGAGCATTAGTAGTGGTGCCATAAATAATAATGCTGATAATGAAGTGACTAATTATCACTCAAACAAAAGGATTATAACAAGATGATCTCAATGCTTAAAAGCTAGTTAATAAGTACAAACTGGTATTATATAATGATGAATTTATATATGAAGGAATCTACGTTCAATCACTAGTCTACAGATTTCATTCCATGTTCATCTATTTCAGTCTAAACTGATAAATAGAATCATTAGCTTCTAAAAGTGAAATACATGTTGAATTAGAGAACAGAAGTGTAGTTGGCGAAGGTATTGCTAATATTAGTGAACATAAGTGTTAATGATGCTTCTCTTCCGTAAATATAAATCTAATCGTGCAGATGTGTATTATGATAAAAATTATGTTATATAATCATTATAGTGTTTTACATGTTCAACCACTGATATATAATTCTAGTTATTGACGAAGGAAGTTTAAAAGTAGCTGAACCGAAACCTTGGCATTAGTGAATAAGCTCAATGAATGTTAGTTGAAACTATTTTAAGTGTTATAAATCTTCTACTGGAAGTTCTAATGATCAGAAACTCACGACAACATAGTTCAAAGGCATTTGAACATTATGTTCCCGTCTTTGAATCTTAAATTTCTTCATTATTTGATGGAGGTTTTTTTCATTCTTTAATTTCATTGTTTTAAGTATTCAGTTATATAAGTAGTACTATTAACACATCAACTTATCTAGTTTTAGTTTTGTTTCTCTCATTAAACTCATGCAAGTTATGATAATTTGTATTGATTTTATATTTATTGAATGATCCTATGTTGTTTATAACCAACCAATTGACTTTATATCAGTTTTCTGATATCCATCTAATCATTTAATTATGATCTGTTATCAGAGAATAAGATGTTCCGCTTTATATAATAAAATATCTGGATTGTAGATCATATCAGAAATCCGGTATTGTATTTAAATATATCCCCCCCATTTAGGTGTTTTTCTTCACTTACATTAATTTTTTTTTAAAATATAAATAGTGTAAAACAGAGTTTTAACTCACAGTTTTCAATACTACTTAATACAAATTCTTTTAAAAGTTTGTGTTACATTTTTCTAAGTCAAATTTAAGAAGAATCCATTTATACAGTTGGAAATTAATTATGTATATTTGTGTGAGGATAGTTCACGGGTGAACTCGAGGAAGTCTTGAATAGCTCAGAAAGAGCCGAAGATATTCTATCTCCAGATATAACAATTTTAACAAAATTCAATTTGAATAATGATACTCTGTCACAGTAGTGATCATTGTAAATATTAGTACGTTAAGTTTTATCGATTTCAAATTATATCAATGTTTATACCCATAGATTGCTAAAATCATTAAAGGTCTAACACAATAAAATCTGAATCTCACTACATGATGTAATCTATTAACATCGTTGGATGCCGGATCAGTGGTCTAAAGGTTGAGCGTCCGCGAGAAAGACCGATAGTTTCTGGGTTCGAATCCCACGGGCGGGATCGTGATTGAGCACCGCTGAGGAGTCCCATACTAAAGCGATACGGACGTCCAGTGCTTCCAGGTTTTTTATGGTGGTATAGTTTTAGTTGATTCGTCAATTCAACTATTAAAATATTTAGATATGTTGACTGTGAGCTTCTTTTTAAACGTCTTAAATACTGGTCAGAATATTACATCGTAATAGATGATTAAATGTTATGCGTTATATAATTTAATATTTTAATAAACAGAAGTTTCTAATAAAATCCAGGAATTTATCATTTTACGCTAAAAAAAGAAACGGTCCCCTAATGGTCTCGGCATACTCAAGACACATATCTAACCAATCTAAGTTCTTTAATTCGTAAATATTGAGCAAATTGAATAATTTATGTAAACATATTTTGATAAACATCAGTAAAATATCCATTATGATTTATCAACCTTTGAATCTATGATAAATAAGAATAAACAGTGTTCAATTTGTTAAAACGAATATCGTTAGCTACTAATTGATAAATTCCATTTTGAGATGATGTAAACAATCTCACAATCACATTACATAAATCATAATCTATTTCAGAATGGAATGGATAGCAGATATAATGAATAATATACGGTAATATTGTAAGTTGTAGAATAATAGAATCTTATGAACATAGTAAATTCAGAGAAGGGTTTTGTGGACATTGTGGTAATTTAATTATTGAATTTGTTAGTCAATTTGCTATAACTTGTCAGTTAAATCTAGAGTACCATGGAAAATCTATGAGCACTGGATGGCCGTTTCGTCCTATTGCGGAACTCCTCAGCAGTGCGCATCCATGATCCCATCCCCCTCCGGGAGATTCAAACCCAGAACCTATCGGTCTTGAGCGCGAACACTTAACCTAGAGACTATTAATTCGGCATCCAACAGTGTTAATGTCTAACTTCAACCAATCCGCGAAATCACACCACTATTTACTATTGTCTTCAATGATTTACTATTTCACAACAGACACGGTTGAACTCCATCGATTACGGCTTCCCACTAGAACTACAGGAAATATCTATTGGAGACCGTCATCAGCTAGAATATGATGATTATAATCAAAGGGAGGTTTTGTGGATATTTTAGTAATTTAATAATTGAATTTATGAATCAGTTAAAGCTAGACCACCATGGAAAGCCTGGAAGAGCTGAATGGTCTATCTTCAATTGACTCATGAATTCAATAATTAATATAGTATATATTAACCATATTTACTTAAATCTTTATTAAAAGTCCTAGTATTTTTCATTGACCCTTCTAACTAATAGTATTTGGCAATACTAATTATTTCTTTTAAATAATATAAATAACTTCATGAATACATTTGTTTTGATGAACACAATCGAACAGATCAATTCATATGTTGTTCCGTGCTCGTTTAACTTTCTCTAGCTGTAGATAATTATTATTAATTCGATCTGGCACAGGAAATGACATTAATTACACCGTTTAACAGGCTGTCCACTTAAAAAAATTAAATGTTCCCAGTTGATGCATTGGATCTCCGTAATACATATACTACCCAAACAATTCTGAACTATATATGCGAACTTATCAGTATATTTTAATCAATTCATTTCTAACTGCTGTGGATTGAAAGTAAAAAAAAGAAAAGAAGAAAAGAAAACAAAAAAGAAAAGAAAACAGAAAAGAAAGAAAAAAGAGAAAAACATTTAAAAGTTTAAAAAGCTTTACAAATCACTGAAAAGGAATATTTTGTTTTGTACTTAAATTTTCTAAATTACAAATCATCTCGGTAATCATTTAACATATAATTTGTTTGTTTGTTTGTCTGTTTTTGCTTTTTTGTTTTTCTAATCATTATTGTTTCTTTTTTTTCATTGTTTATCTTTTCTAATAGAATATTAACTGAAATCACAAAGATACTGATAATAGAAAACAAAAAAGTAATTTAATTGAATAATAGTCATATTCAATATTTATTTATAATTTATTACAATGGAAACATTTATTTGTCCAAGTGATAGACAATTAGCATTACGTGCAAGGTAAGTTCATTATGTATTTATTATTTAATTAAGAAAAATAACAATGGATTATTTATGAATGTTTCTGATAACTGAAATATATATATATATATATATATATATATATATAGAGAGAGAGAGAGAGAGAGAGAAAGTTAAAGTTCATGTCTTCATTTTCTTTATATCTCTAGTCATTCTGATCCCATCTTCTTTACATTTAATATTCATCTTTTTCTACATATTTCATTAAAATGTATCAATCAGGTTGATGAACAACCTTCACTAAGTTATATCAGTTGAACTAACAGGTATTTATGTAGAATGAATAGTTTAATGGAAAATGCATTGATCTTTTTGAAGTAATAAGATGCATATATGCCAATAAGAGACTAATCATTTACATTTCTAAATATCAATGAGAAGATTCTAGTAAATCAATTAATACTTTAACAAATTACACAAACTAGTGGGTATTTTTGACTCAGTAGGTAAGTGAATAACGTGATGGCATTTGAAACAAACGATACCGGGTTCGAGTTTCGGTGTGAACATCAACACTACGATGCAGGTATATCCAGTTGACGAGTCCAAAATAGGATGAAACATGCATCCTGGAATTAACTGCTAGACACCATTCATTTTGACTTACAATAGGCAATAAGTTTAAATTACAATATCAAAATAAACATTGGAAAATTGGACAACCCACGCTTTGATTCTAAACTAGAATGTTATGTCATGTTAGGTTTTAATCTGGATAGTGTTTCACTTATCAACGCATAAATCAAAGTTATTCTGATGAAAAACGATTTAAATAGCTTGATGTTGCGCTTGCTAAACTTTTATATGAAAGCTATTTATGATAACTACTTACAGTTAATATTTCAAGACAATGTAATAGTTTCAAAACTGTTTCATTACACCAAACGTTACCATAAAGGAAATTTTGTGTATATTTTATTTTTATGATTATGTTTCAACTTTTAGAATATTAATAACTTACGTAATATTGTTAATGTAATAAAAACACGAAGATTATCAGAATTATGTGATGATATATTAGCGCAATACATTTCGAACAATCTAATCACACATATACTTGTTAAGGACATTTATGTAGAATAATATAAGGTCAAGTAGACTGGAAATGGAGGGTAAGACGAGACAATGATATCCAGAATGATTACGTTTCAAATTGTGTTCACATTATTATTATTACTCTTATTATTATGGTGGTCTAGCTTCAACTGACTCATGATCTCAACCAATAAAATAATTACAATCTCTACGAAATATACGCTCACTAGTGACTGGCTTCAAGAGGTATATCCTGGAGTTCTAGTGAGAAGTAGTGACCAGTGGAGTTCAACCAGGTCTGTTGTGAGATAGTAACTCACTGATGACAATCGTGAATGTGTCGCTCAATTTCGTGGATTAGTTGGAGTTAGACACTAACACCGTTGGATGTCGGCCGACTCAGTGGTCTAATGGTTAAGCGCTCGCACGCGAGACTGATAGGTCCCGGGTTCGAATCTCCAGGGAGGCGGGATCGTGGATACGCACTGCTGAGAATTTCCACAATGAAACCTAACGACCGTTCAGTACTTCCAGGTTTTCCATGGTGGTCTAGCTTCAACTGACTCATGATCTCAACCACTGAAATTACTATAATATCCACAAAACCCCTTCTGATATTATTATTATTCTTGTCTCCTCTTACCTTCCATTTCCAGTCTACTTGACCTTTTACTTTTATATATAAATGTTGTTTAACCAGTATATGTGTGATCAAATTGTTCGAAATGTATTACACTAATATATCATCCCACAGTTCTGATAATCTTCATCTTCTTATCACACTATCAAAATTTATCAAAGGGGCTAATAGCTTTAAACTTACGTAATATTGAACAAAACATCCATCAATTGTTCTACTTGTTATCCTAAGGGTAAACAGAAAATATAAAAAAACTATAAATTGGAAGAAAAAAAACAATCATGGATTATAATAAGTGAGAACATATTTTTGAACTATTTTTAACCATTTTCACAATCGTCTAATAACGTAAAACTAATTATCGCATTATATAAACACATATAAGTAATAGGATTTATTTTGTAGATTGATTTACTGATAGATGATTTGGCAAAATACATGGATTATCTAATTAAACAAATAAGGGAATTACGTGGGAAATTTGACTAATTAATAATGAATACAGTATGCTTACAATTTATTGATAAGTCAAATGAGAGTGGGCGTATATTGTCTATTTTAATTCATTTGATATTGTTTCATTGAATCTTCCTATTTATGTTTAGTTAATGCAATTGATCAGTCTCTCATTGGCATATGTACATATTGTCTCGATATTGTCTTAATTCACAATCATTATAAGATTTAGTAGCTAAGTGGTTAACGTCATGGAGTTTGAAGCGAAAGATACTGGGTTCGAGTCCCAGAGTGATCATCAACTCCGAAATGCAGGTACATCCAGCTGACGAGTCCCAGATGGGAAGAAACGCGTGTCCTAAGTTCCACTACTAACCACTATCCATCTTTTCTTATAATATATATATCTGGGTTTTATTTAGTAAAAATGAATTGTTTTGAGTTATTATATGATTTTATCATGGCCCATTCAATGTTGTTTTAAATGGTTGCCAATTAATGAAATGAAAATAATGTATATTGTAAAAATACTTTTTATTTCGTCAGTTCGATTAGATGGAAAATGTTTAAAAGGAAGTATTTTCTTTCTAGTTCATAAATATCCCCCAACAATAGTTTGTTTTTACAACACATTTCCTAAAATTGTTGATATTATTCAGCGAAATTGTTGTTTTAAGAAAAACTAAAATCAAAACGAACTATAGTTGAGTTGTAATCAGAGTTTGGTGGTTGCTATCAGTCAATTCCAGGACGCGCATTTCATCTTATTTGAAGTTATCAACCGGATGTACCTGGATCCTGAATTTAGTGTTTACTACTGGACTCAAGCTCAGTACCGTTAGCTTCAAATGTCATCGTGTTATTTACATAGCTATTGAGTCTAGATTGCCTCTGATTTGCACGATGTGCTTTGGTTATTTGAGTTTTCACATTGATGTTTAGGATTGTGACTGACTAGTCTCTTTAGGCATACATGCACTCTGCACAGATTGCTTCGATCTTGTTATTAAGTCTCAGAGTGAACATCAACTCTGTGATGCAAACAACTCTAGCTGAAGAGTTCAAAGTAGGAAGAAGCGCGTGTCCTGGTTTTCACTACTGTCCACCAACTAAATCGGCATATTATTCTTGCGAATAAATGGCGATATTGAGGCAATCCTCACAGGATCTATATATGCCGAAAGGTAGTGGTCGATTGTAGTCGTAAACAACAATGGTAATATTCAAACAACTAATAAAAACGAATGTTTGAGTTGGTTGAAAACAATACACAGTAGTAATTGTCAAGATCTATCATAACAATTACAGCCACTATAAGCTGTAAGATATTTCTTCTCATCTTCGTAACTATAAATATAAGTTTTATAGAGTTACTAGATGTTTAATAATATATTGTTAGTAACTTTGACAGTTGCTTATTATTTCTTTTTAATTACGGCCGTTAGTTCGTATGGTGATATAGAAGTCTAACTTTATCATGGGAAGGTTAAATAACTGTTAATATACTTTTGAATACAAAAGATGCTTTTGTTATCTTACGTTATGATAACCTTTACTAAATGTTATGGTCAACTTTTAGTATGAATATGGAATGCAATAAATAACCGCACATACATTTTACTTTAATTCATTGATACATTAAACTGATTGGTTATATTTATAGTTCCACTGAATTATTTTGCAGTTGTACATTTGATCGCGTTCAGAATATTTTTGAACTTTAAGATACATGTACAGAATAAATAGGCTGTAACTAGTAGCAAAATCCAGAACCGATTTTTCATTTTACTTGAAACGTACTCGTCAGGTAAATTCACCTGCATCTCAGTGTCGATGTTCACCGTGAAACTGTAATTCGGTACCAATTTTTTAAACAATAACTCGTTATCTGTTAATCAACTAATTCCGGATAACCATGAACTTTTTCAATTAGTATGATGTTCATATCATTATTAATATGAGTTTAAGTTATTTGGTTGTTGATATTCAGGAAAAAAATTTGATTTGTTTTTGTTGGTACATGTATGTCTTACGTAGATATCCTCGAGGTAGCTGTACTGTTACAAAATATTCAGAATAGGTGGATGTAATATAGATATACTGTTTAATTGATAGATAATATCTGTCACAATTCATTCCCATAATTTACAGGACATCTACATTAGTTCTTTATAATAATATTGACAGGGAAGTCCTTAGAAACAGGTGGATCGTAACTTATGAAACTCTTATGGCGCTATTCACTCAACACCTTACACCGAAGAAAACTAATAATTAAGTGACAACACTGAAAACTAAAATTTACGCATTATGACAGTCATTTTTTCAATATTTATCAAATAATAGAGTGAGAACTAGGAATCACTGGACATGTGTTTTGTTTCACAGTGGCTTCTTTTTGCAGTGAGAATATACAACCCAACCAGTAATTGAACTCAGAAAACTCAGGTTTCGAGGGGAGCTGTTTAAACTTTAAGCCACTGAATCGGTTTATGCTTCTAAATCCAGTCACCAAAAATCCCTTATACTAATAATAAGTTGAACTCTACAAACAAAAGGGACTGTCAGTTTAATTAAACGGAACCGAATTCAAGAATTTTGATTCCTGTGACGGGAACAAATCTTTTAAGCCAATAATTTAAAATTAAATGGACGAAATTACCAACTTAAGTCAACTTGCTTTGAGTTATAGACATTAAATAAAACTTAAGTTATTAAATCAACACCAAATTGAGCATTGTATGGAGAGTTACTAATTAAACTTATGTTAATTTAATGTCAGTTATTTATTTACTCTGAAGAACTGCCTTATATTATGTCACGAAACGTTAGAAATACAATTTTTCTA